AATATCACTAGCTGTGTGGCCCTGGCATGTTACCTAACCCCTCTATGGGAAGAGCACTTTTCTCATAAAGTAGTTATAACAACTAAATGCTTTAAAGATTGTAAGCTTAAAAATACCTGGCATGTAATGAGCACTCAATAAATATTAGTAGTTATTTCTTGTCAGCCCATGGCTGCTTCCAGGCTATTATTGTCACTCTCAGCAAAATTCTCCAATTCCAGCCTTTGCATGTTCTCTCATATTCTGTGTTCCTGGGCCATTGACTTAAGTGACAACTGAGGGCTCTTTTTAATCTTATGAGACCTGATCTAGAGAGATATAGAATCCAGAAGTTATATAATATTATTAATAATAGCTGACACTTGCCCTTCCTGGTGTGGCTCAGTGGTTTGAGTGCTGGCCTGTGAGCCAAAAGGTCGCCGGTTCAATTCCCAGTTAGAGCACATGCATGGGTTGCAGGCCAGGTCTCCAGTTGGGGGTGTACAAGTGGCAACCATGCATTGGTGTACAAGGTGCAATGGCAATGTATGGTTGCCACTGATGTTTCTCTCTCTCCTTTCTCCTCTCTCTAAACATAAATAAATAAACTCTTTAAAAAAATAATAGCTGACATTTGCTGAAAACTTCCTGCTGTACCAGATACTTATTTCATATCTTATTTCATGCCCCCAACAACCCCCCAAGTCTGTATTATTATTCATATTATGGTTGATGAATCAAGCTCAATCAGGGAGGTTTATTTGCCATCCGAGATCACACAGATCCTTTCTCTGAATTGAAGGACATCTTTATCTAGCTGTCTTCCTAAGAGAAGCATCCAGGGTGAGTTATAGACAGCTACTATTTGCTGGGCTGTCTGCTCCCCTCTGAAACCACTCAGGGTTCCTGTACTTGGCCATCTTGAAGGAGACTTGGCTTAGAGGTGGCCATCTGGCATCAGCTCATGCTGCTTTTGTGAAGTCACATGTGGTCCCGGAGTTGCCAGGAAAAAGGATGCCTTGATGAGCCAAAATGCAAATTCCTTAGGAGAGGAAAAGTGAAAGTGAGCTTGTTCACACTGTGCACGACTCCAAGGAAATGACACAACTCGAGAGACACAGTGTCCTGCCCCTAGGCTCCATCATATTACAGGGGCATTATTTTACATTTGATAATAAACTTGCCTCCCAACAGACAGTTTTGCTTCTTTGACCAGTAAGAGAGGCACAGGTGAACCAAATTAAAAGGAAGTTGATGTTTGAAATACGAAAGTGGGGTGGCTCCTGACATTTTAAATGCCATCCCCTGGAAAGCTGGGACAGGTGGGGGTGGGGAGCATGTTTTCCTCACCAATCCCGAGTTTGGAGAGTTTCTCTTGCCCTAGAGATGAATTGTTCAAAGCAGGTGAAGGCCGGGAGAAGGGAACTTGGGAACCCTCATCTAGTTTGTTCATATCTGAAAGAATTCCTAAGGCCTTCACTAGGGTTTTCAAAAACTCTTCTTTGGCTACTTGTTTTTCTTCTTTCTCTGCTTTCTTTTTTTCTCTCTCTACTTCTTGTTTTCTTCCTCTCTCCTGGTCTTGCCTTCTCCAGAGCCCATCAGATCTCAGAGGTTCCTTTTCCTCTAGCCATGCCCAGGACTGGGTCACCTGGGCTTTGAATGCTCTTTTCATCAATGAATCCCTGCACCCTTTTGTTCTGTTCCTCCCAAGATTTTCTAAGTTGTATTTACAGTGACAGGTGGGTCTAAGGGATCTATGATTGCTGGCATTTCAGACCAGCACCACTGATGCCGTGGTTTACAGAGTGTTGTCTCAGAGGGTTTACTGGAAGGCATTTAGACAGGTTTTTTAAAAGACCCAACAGTGAGGCGATTGCTGGGGGGAGGGGCATATAAAAGGACTAAATATTAATGGAAAAAATATATAATAAAGATTATATTTAAAAAAACAGGAGAAAATCCCTTTAGAAAAACTATTAAAAGTTAGATTCAAAGGTTTCAAACTTGTAAATGAAGCCTGCATGATCTCCTGCAAGCTCTATTTCGATGCTTAAGTGAGGGGCCCTGACAAGTTCAAGCCAGATCAGCTGCAGATCCTCAGACCAGACAAAGCAGCATGTGGCTTCCCCTCAGATGTCAGGTGAGGGGAACTGACTTGTCTATGTATAAGGCCCAGCCACAGAGGTTCCAGGTGAAATACCAGAAGTCCACACAGGCTTCTCCTGGAGAAGGTGGCCCAGCCAAACAGTCCCAGATAAAAGGCTGGACTTCATTTTGGGGCTGTGCAGACGATTCCTTCCTTCCAAAAGGGGATCATCGAAGCTGCCAGAAACCCTTCACTCTATGCCCCCCACGCACACCTGTTCCCAATGCAGTCCCAATTTTGGAACCTTCCCCTCTGGGGTTTTTTATAGTGCGGTTCAGTCGTTCTCATATCCCCTATAGGGCCTGTTAGAAACACAGATTGCTGAGCCTCGCTCCCAGAGTTTCTCATTCTGTAGGTCTAGGATAAGGTCTAGGGATTCCTGCATCTAACAAGTTCCCAGGTGAGCGGATGTGGCTGGTCCTGGGACCACACTTCGGGAACCATTAGTACAGCTAACCAATCAGATTTCCTGGGTTCAAAGGCTTGCCCCGTCATTCACGCCCAGGGCTCTTGAACAAGTTAACCTCTCTGTTGCCTCAGCGTCCTTGTCTGAAATAAAAGAACACGAGGATGAGAATGACATTTGCTTCACGATGTTGTTTTCAAGGGCAGATGGGACAATGCATAAAAAGCATGGTTTGGTACATGCAAGTGCTATTTCTCAAAATGCTATTTCTCAAAACACACCAATGTTATAGCACTGCTATCCACCCAGAACCTTTCTGATCCACCTGCCGATGCAAAGACCCTCGGTGTCCCAGGGCTCAGGTGGCCTTAGGTGTTAAGGAGGCTGGACCATGGAGACCTATGAGTCCCAAAGGCACCTTTGCTCAGAATCCATAGATGAGTCCTTCTCAAAGTTGGGTATTCAGATACTGCCTTTGCTGCCAGAAATCCATGAGACCTCAGCCTAGGCACTGATCTGGACATGTTTGTCAACTCCCTGGCGTTGCTTTTTGCTCTGTGACCACGAAACAAGCAAAACCAGAAGAGTCCTGCCTGCTGTCCCAGGCACTAAATGTTATACTGGCTGAATTTGGCTGCATAAATCTCTACTCCCCAACAGCTTAGATTTTCAGAGCTGCTGTGGCTTTTAGAGATTTTATAGAATTTCCTCTGAGCTCCCTTATCATTTTTTAAATTAAATAAAAACAAAAACAAAACAAGGAAAATCCAGAGGAGTTCAATCTCTAGACTTGCTTTTTGTTTTTATTATCAACAATCAAGTTAATGGTACACTCTTGGAAAACTATATGCACATGTAGAAATATTTCCCTTTTAAATAGAAGCATTCATTATAACACATATAAATAAATTTGAAAATCTGAAACATAACTTATGACGCTTATGTTCACAAACAAGGTCCAACAGGAAGAAAAAAAGAAATCAGACAGACATGCACCTGATAACAAAAATATATACTGTTGTCTGGACCGTGGTCTCTCTAAACACAAAAGAATTGAACCCGTGAGAACCTTAGTACTCCATAAAGACACGCCATAGAGACTACAAGAAGAGGAAAAACATTGTACGGTCACGCAGAAGAGACGGTCTGTACTGATATTAACACGATACAATTGAGTCACAGAACACAGTTGTAGAAAGACACCCAAAAAGTTAAAGCCTCAACATTCAACTAATATCTATAGTTTGTGCCTTTTAAAATAAGAAACCAAAAAAAAAAATCTCAACAGAGATGTCTAAACTGCGGGAAGAATGGAATCATCAATATACAGTCCATCCACCATACAGGATGTGAGTCCATTTCGGATCGAACAGAAGTGCAAACCCAGACACTTCTGCAAACTTGTGTGCGCACCTTTCCCTTGCTCCGTCGATTTCTCTGCAGCCAGTTGCACGGACTGCCATTGACTCCAATCCAAAGCAGTGCCAAAAAGTTCAGTAAAAGCTGGTGGAAGAAGAAAATGCCGGTGGGGGTGGCGGGAGAGAAAAAAAGGGAAGAGTTTCGAAATATGAGACACAGTTTGCAGTTTGCGGATGAAAGGCATCTCATGTATAGGGCATCTTTCAGGGCCGAGTGGCTGCAAAGATTCGGGGTTCGGGAGTTGCGACGGCGCTGGGGTTCGGGAGCGCTAATGGCGGGGTGGTGGCACTCGGCGAGGTGGGACAGGCAAGCGGGCACGAGGAGGTCATCTTGGCCGCGGTGACAATCTGCTGGAGCTTCCGCCGCAGCAGCCCGAACCCGAGGACAGGACGGGGGGCGAGACTGGAAGGCTCCCTAGTCGCCCCGAGGAGAAGCCCCAGGGAGTCTGTGCTGTGCGCGGGGCGCCGGCTCAGGGCTTCACGAGACGGAGCCCGCAGACAGTCCCAGCGGCAGCCTCCGCGCTTTCCCCCTTTACCTTTGCTCCCCTTCGATTTTAAAACCGTTTAGAAAAATGATGACTGCCTTCCCGATTTTTTTTTTTAATTATGGGGGATCATTTGTTTATTTCTCTCTTTCTCTGAGCAAGACACTGAGTTGGTTGCGCCCCGCACCCATCCCCACCTGTCGCCTGCTCGGGCCACAGACACACATTCCCAGAGACGGACAGACACGGCACGCAGACGCAGCCCCCTGAGAGCGCCCCCGAGTCCGGGCCGCGCGCGGCCGCGCCTGGCTCTGCGCGGCCCTGGGGCAGGTGCGAAGCCGGGGAAGTTTCTGTTTTGCTTGGGGGTCAGGATGGGGGTGGCAGTGGGGTTGACGTGGGGGCGACGCCGTTTTTTCTCTTTATTCTCATCGCGATTACTTTAGGCTCTCCAGGAAAAAGCCGCGGCCGCAGCGACGACCGTAGCCTCGGGCCCACCCGCTCGCCCACTCGCCCGCCCGCCCGCCCGCCCGGGCCCCGGCCGGCCGCCGCCGCCGCCCAACCCCCGATCAGAACATGCTGCTCTTCACTAAGGCGGCTTTGGCACCGTTGGGTCTTTGGAGCGAAGATAGGACGCTGGCGAAGGGACCCCCGAGTGAATCCGGAATGGAGGTGATGGGGCCCGGGCCAGGAGCCCAGCCTTGTCCCGGGCCCGCGGCCGCGCCCAGGCCGCCCGCCGCCGCCAGGCCTCCGGCCGCCGCCGCCGCTGCCGCCGCCGCTGCTGCCGCCGCCGCCGCCGCCGCCGCCGCGCTGCCCTTGCCCGGCTCGCCGCCCGGGCCCCCCGGCCCCGCCGCTCCCGGGGCTCCTGCCGGGCTGGGCCCGCCGCCGCCGCCGCTCGCGCCGCAGCTGGGAGTGGGGTTGGGGTTGGGGCCCGGGCCTCCGGTGCTGTCCGGGTCGGTGCTTTTGGCCTCCTTGCTCTCGTCGTCCCGGGAGGAGTCGGACTTCTTCCCCGAGGAGCCGTTTTTGGCCGCGGCCGCAGCCGCCGCTGCCGCGCGCTCCTGCTTGCGGAATTTGGCGCGGCGGTTCTGGAACCACACCTGGGCCGAGACCAGAGGAGAGGCGCGAAGCAGGGGGAGAAAAGGCAGGAAAAAACGGGAAAGAAAAGCGCGAGTGAGGAGGGTGCACGTTCCATCCCAGTTTGTTTTAAGCTCAGCGCCGCGAGGTACCTCCGTGCGCACCCACCCCACCAAGTCCGCCCCCACCCCTTGGTTGCTGGTGCATCTTCGGACAAGTTTTCTTTGGGTGACTTGACCATGCCAAGGAAGCAGCGCTGTGCAGGAGAGGTAAAAAGGGCGCAGTTTCCAAAAAGGCACTGAAATGGAAGCCTTTAATTTGGCGGACCTTTGCTCAGTCAACTTTTTGAGCCACTCCAAACTCGTCATCGCCCATAGGCCTGAAAAGTTAAATAAACCCTAATTGGTAGAAGGAGGAGGGGGATTTGGGGTTGGTGCTTGCCGCGCTCCCTGACCTTGGGGCCTAGAGAAGCAAGCGGTGGTGCGCACTGCCCCTCCACTGGGGGGCTCCCCTGGAGCGGCGCCATGTCCCTAAAAAGTTAGAATAAGCCTTGGTTCTTGACCTTCGTGGAGTCACAGCCCCTTCGCGAACCTGATACAAGCCTTAGTTCCCGGGAAGTTACGCCTATACGCTATGGCTCCAAGTTAAAAGTGCTTGAATTAGAAGGCATTTAGCAAATATATATATATATATAGTACGCGGGCAAACTCTGCACTCTTCCCAAAGGGCACTTTCCCGACTGCTTCTGCAACGTTGGCTGTGGTGGAAAATACTCTGCAATTGTGAATATAAATACCCAAGAGCACGGACCCTAACCCTTCCTCCTGCGCACAACCACTCCAAACTTGGCCTGTCTGTTCATCCATGAACCAAGGGTCCTTCCCAAGAGAGGCCCTGGGATCCCGAACCTTTAGCAGTATCTACCACCCGCTCCCTCACCCACCGCACCCCTCCAGGACCAGGCGCGACCAAGCCTGGTAGTTTTCCAGGAGCGTGTACCTGGACTCGCGCCTCGGTGAGGTCGATCTTCAGGGCCAGCTCCTCCCGGGTGTAGATGTCAGGGTAATGCGTCTCCGCGAAGACCCTCTCCAGCTCTTTGAGCTGTGCACTCGTGAAAGTGGTGCGGATGCGCCTCTGCTTGCGCTTCTCGTTGAGGCCGCCGTGGTCGGTGAAGAGTTTGTATGGAACTGGGGACAACAGAGAGGACAGAGTGTGAGCGAAACGGCCTGGGGAGCACGGGCCGTGGAGCCGGAATGTGGGGACTTCAAGGTCAGGTGTCACTGGAGCCGCTACCGACAACAGAGCAGGAGAGTGAACAAGAGGAGCTGCCGAGAAAAACCGAGGAAATTAGTTATGTACAGAAGCTGGCTCATGCTTCGGGGTTTGGCGAGGTCCCTTCTGGCACAAAGCGCCCTTGGGTGGGTTGAAATAGAGCACTGGAGACCTCTGAGGGTCGGGACTCCCCCTGAGGGATAATGCTTTGGTGAGGGAAAAAACGAGAGAGGAAAAAAGTCGGAAAACATCCGTCGGAATATCAGGGAACCAAGGAAGAAGTTACCAAACGCTCTCACTGTTGGAACTCTTCAGTTCTCCGGAGTGGACCCACCCCAAAAGTTGGGGGAAAGTGTTGCAAAATAAAAATAATAAATTAAAGAAATAATCATAAAAATGACCAGCCAAAGAGGTGTGAGCTGCTGTCGGTTCTTTAAAAAAGAGACACTGCCAGTAATGAGCTTTACTCTTTGTTATTTAATTATTTTCTAAGCTTTACGTCTCATCGCAAAGTAAATAAATTATGCCTATCATTTTGGCAGCTTAAGATAATTTTGTTGGCGGTTCGGGTGTGACTAGGATAGTGTAACCCTGTAAGTGAATTACCCCTCCCTGCAATCGCTTCTAACGTGATAAATTCTTTCATTTGTGTAAGCAAATTTCGTTTGGTAAATACTAAACACATTTCCATTTTCAAATGCAATCAAGGCTTCCTATATACGAGAGGAAAGGCAGCTTCCTCCGCTGAGAAAGCTGGAGGTCCTTACCTGCGGCGTACGGACTGCTCTGGTGGTCCCTGAGGGTGCCGAGGCTGCAGGATCCCGGCGTGAGGGAAGGGCAGCCGGACGTGGCCCCAAAAGTGGTCCTGATCGGGTTATACTGGAAGCCACTGGCCTGGCTGCAGGAACTGAAGTCAGCATAGGCTGAAGCCAGGCTCGAGGTGTCCATCCCAGCCATACAGGACTCGTAGGCAGAGGAATTGAGGTAAGAATATTCCATTTTATACATTGAAAAGGCTCTGGATGGCTCAGCCAAGTGGAAAAACGAAATAAAAGATGGGTATGGAGAAGGTGGCTGGAGTGGGGAGATGTGCACAGCTCAACGCCTGCCTCCAAACTGGCCTCCTTACTACCAGCAGAGCCTAGTTTTATGAAAAAGCCTCCTATGAGATGCCTTGTCTGAGGTCTCTAGAGCATATAGTCCTCATAATAAACTTGGCTCTTTCCACTTGGACAATAGCAAAGCGGTTGGTCTTATTGCTGGCGCTTTTTACATGACAATAACTCATCCGTCTATTGGGCTGGCACTGGGGAACTGAGCTGTCCAACCTCCCTATCATTGATTCCTGCATCTCTAATTAGAATTTAATACCACACCATTACGCACTGAGCCCCTGATCCTCCCTTCTAACCAGCTCCCTGCCCTTTAATTCAATCACACTACTTGGAAATAATGAAAGTTGGGTGACGATTCTCCCTGATCCAATTTCCCCAAGCTTTTAAGCCTTTTTAACTGATCATATACCTTAGGCATAAATTGAGATAGTGTGTATGTTTTCCTCCTTCTTCGTCCTCTTCCCACCCCCCCTCGGTTAGGAAGAAGAAACCTTGATGTCATAGAAAACCTGTTTTGTAAGAGTGTTACACGCTCAATTTAACAACAAGCCTACCCCCCGAAGTGCATGAAATGTTATAAAGGACTGGGACATTGGCAAGACTCAGGCGCCCTGTACCGTAGAGTAAGTGGGCCAAGGGGGTTTCTGTGAACTAAAAGCGTATTTCTTTAAAATACACCTTGTAGAGGGGCTTTTTTTTTTTAAAAAAGAGCATCTTATAAATTGCATTTCTTGTCGCGCCTTAATGTGCTTTTCTAGAGACTCAGCTTACATAGCTGCTTTAAAAAAAATAAAAGAACAACGCTGTTGAATGTAAAACATCTGGATTTTCAACCGATGGCTTCGTTGCGCTCAGTTCTGTCTTTCTGCCGTAGTGCGAGGTTTGCATTGTGTCGGTCTGGAGGTTCTCGGCTGCTGTTCGTTTTAATTACGCCACAACTCCCCGGCGGACTTGAAATGCCCCCCAGTGCCCCTCGCCCACCCCTCTCGGCTCTCTCCCTCTCTTTTGTCGCCCCCTCTTTTTCAGGTGCCCACAATTCCCCACAGACCCCAGGCTTCCGGCAGAGGACTGCTGTCTGTTGCCTTTCAGGTTCGCTGACTGCGGTGAGCCAGATCCTTCCTCTGTAAATGCCCAGGCTCCAGGTCGGGCACTTTTCTTGCCCAACTAACTCTTTGAGCTCTTGGGTGCTGGCAGCCCGGCACAGACAAAGAAGCAAGCCGTGATCTGTGGACCTTGGTGGCCCCATGATTTAAGTGGAGCGTAATTTTCATTTGGTTCGTTAGACTCCAGCAGAATAAGGAAAACTATTTTATTAAATCCTTCCTCTCGGTGGACAAGAGGGGGAATGCTTAGTTGAATCGCCGTGTGGTGTAAACAAACCCTGGATATTTTATATGAATTAAATGTGTAGATAATTAGTTTTATTGCATTCATTACCCCCTTTATGTGCTCTGTAACAAGTCAGTAATTAAAGTAACAAACTCATAAAGTCTTTATAGGGGCATTTAGGCGTTCAGTGTTTGCCAAACTAAGTGGTTTAATTCGATGCTAGTGCCGGGGAGCGGATGGGCGCCCGCTCTCCACTGCCACTGTGCTTTATTGCGCACTAAACTGCAGCGGACGCCGTAATGGATTAAACGGAGACAGCGGGCCCCCAGCCCTGCGCTTCTCCGCTGGGTGAGTTTCAGGCTGGTTTCAGGTGATGGCGCGTCCTCCGGGCTTGAGGAAGCGCTGCTGGCGCGGGTGCAGGCAGCGGGGCTCGCGGAGGAGCCTGCTGATAGTTTTATGGGGAGGGCTGATAGTTTTATTGCAGTTGTATGTTGTACAATGCGTATTTGATAAAGAAGGGCCCTTGGTGACCAGTGTGTACTTTTTTTGTGCACGGAGGTGAAATGAAAATAAATGTATACAAGGTTTTACTGCGTCGGGAAACAAATTGCAACGCTCTAAATGGTTTTTCTTTATGGTCACCAGACAAGAGGAGAAAAGAGATGCAAACATCTGTCTTCAGTCCCCTAAACCTAAAGGCCAGCAAAGACGGATGTGAATCCAAGTGTTATTACAGTGGGGATTTATCTTTATTTATCCCGCTCTCATGAATATGAATCTGCTTTTGGACCGGGAGGCGGCTGTGCCCCTTCGGACGCTACTCATGGAATTTCCCCACCCTGGCTTATCCTCCCCCCACCTTCAGCGAGGTGGGGGGCAGCTTCTCTGGCACAAGACTGAGGTTGTCCAAGTTTCTGGAATCTCTGGGACTTTGGGCTGGGGCGTGCTGCCCTGACCCCGCCGCCCCCGGCCTGCACCCCTGGGGGATGTGGATGTGGGGAATGGGCCTGAGTGGGACACCCTAGCCCTCTCACCGCCCCCACCCCCGCTTCTGTGGAGTTTAAGCGCGTTTCTCTATGGAATCGAATGATGTGCGTGTTAGGGAGGGGATGTGTTTTGGCTTCAAGGCCCATGCTTGGCAGTAACCAGGCCCACACCTCTCTTGGCGCCCACTCCTCGGTGCACCGGGGCTGTGTCCCTGTCCGGTAAAGAGCGTGCCCTCGGCTCAGGAAGCCTCATCCCGGCCCGTGCCCCAGGGGCCTCACACTCGAGAGGACTGCAGGGCTTTTCCACCTAGGGTCTTAACTGGCACAGTCTCCAGGCCCCCAAACCAGGGGGCCAGACGCTGGCGGTGGAGTTGGAGTGTGGGGAGCTGGGAGGAACAAGATTAATTTGGGCAGCCTTTGAGGATGCTCTCGGGCGATGATGTTGAACTTTGGGATTAGTCTGCGCTGGAGGAAGTTCTTGTTTGCAGGGGACTTTGGGGTGGGGAGCGTGGCGTGCAGCTCAGGAGAGCTGATGTTGACGAGGCTTTTGAAGATGACACCGGGAAAAGCCGTGGGAGCCGGGCAAGGACCCCGCCACCCGGCTGGGACGAGGGAAGTGAGGTCGCGGGGGGTGCGGGAGGCGAGGGGCAGGCCTGGCGGAAGCCTGTGCGGGGCACCTGCTCGCCCGCCCCAGGCTCCCTCTCCCCGCCCTGCTCTCCGGGGCTCGCTGTGGCCTGCGCTCCCCAGATCCCCTCGTCCAGCGCGCCGGCGCTCTCTCAGGTGCCGCGGCGGCCTGCCGCAGTCTCCGACCTCTCTCCAGGCGCCCCCTGGTGCCCGGCCGCCCTGCGTCGGGTGCCTTCTTCTCTTTGTACTAGGAGACCTCTGAGCGCCCGGACCGCACGGTCCGGTGAGCAAACGCGCTGGACTTCATTTTCCCCTTTGTAGGCCTTGTAGGTTTATTTGGTTCAGTGTCACCGTCCCTCTCCCCATCCCACCCCACCCCCCACCATCCACAGCCTGTTGTCCCCTTGGCCCGTCTTTTGTGGCCAGGGGTCCTGCTTCTGCTCCAAAGATGAAAGGCCTGTGGGGCCAGGCCAGAGCCCCAGTTCCAGCGCCCTGTTTTGTTCGAGCTGTGCTTTCTACACGCGAGCTCTCCCCCAAAAGTTGTACCAAATGGTTAATTTAATTATTCCAACTATAGACCAACTGCTTCAGCAGCCTCCACCACGCGTCTGGGGGGAAAAAAGAAACCATCTATAAGAAATAATCTAATAAAAGTGAAGTGTAGAAAAACCCCTCCTGATTTTCAACCGGCACAAATAGAATTAGAGCTTCAGCATCCTTTTCCCAAACAGACCTTTTGTCCAGATCACAACTTCAGCCAACCAGCAATGTGTACAGCGCCTGCTATTTATTTTAATGGAGGCGGGTGGGTAGCGAGATGGATTGATAGATAAATGGCCACATGGATAGATGGATGGTTGATCCATCTTCCTCTGACTTTCCTTTCTTAATATGTGTACACGGCTGATTTTTTCCCCCTGCTGATTTTTTGAATCAATAATGGAAAGGCAATGTTATGTGGTAAAAGGAAAAAAAAAGGTCATTTAAAGCACAAAAAAAGGGAAGAGACTACCAGCATATACACCATGAGAAAAAAAATGTTTACATGCTACCCAATACTAAATGAGAAAGGTTGAAAGTTTAAAAGAAACTTTTCTTTCCTTTTCTTTGCCATTCATAGGAGGGTTTCTTTTTCTGCTTCTTTTTTTCCTTGAAAGTCAGAAAGAATGTTAGAAGACAAGGAAACAAAACAGCAAACAAAATGCCATTGTATTGTAGTAGCAATTCATGGGAAAACGCTTGTCAGCCGCCTAATGCCTCACTCCTAGGAGGCTGTTTTACCGCAGGCAAAGCACAATAACATGGGAATGAATAAAATATTAAATACCAGTGAGAGTTTCAGAGGAATTTTCTTTTTGATTGCTTTATTTGAGGCTGCATCCAAATTATTCCCCCACAGTGAGGCCACTGCCTGGCAAAGACTCAACTCAGAACCGACAGTTCCCTCAACCACAGAATTAAAAGATGAGATTTGTCCTCCAGTTTCTAACACAAAAATGAAAACAAAAAAACACACAAACCATGAAAAGAAAAACATTTCTGCAGACAGCAGCCTTTTTCACTCACCTGCACCAGGAAAATTACCTGGACTCATTGGGACACCATTTCCCCAGGACATGGAGCAAGCCAAGCACAGCATTCCCAAGCACGAAGGTCACTGATACAGTTGTTCTCTGAGCATTTTAGAATTTTCACCACATTTTCCATTTCCTAGCAACCATAATACACCCGTTTCATAATAGAGACTCTTTGTATTTCTGGTGGCTAACCTCGTGGCACTGTGAGACTAGCAATTATTAACTGATTGACAACAGCGTACGTGAAGCAATGAACACAGTACTTGGCACTTGGGAAGAATCCAGTGGATGTTAGACACCAGCGTTGTGATAGTGGTGAGGATGATGATGGTGGTGGTAGAGTCTCTTTCAGTTGTATATTAAATACTTGACTTTGG